AGAACGAGTGGATCCATTTAAGCCAGGCACCATAACTAACCTCTCTATTTTCCGAATCTTTTCATCTTGGGCAATTTCTTCCCCTAACCATCCCTCCAAGTGCCTATGCAGATGCTCAAATGTCTGCGTGTTCAACAATTTGATCTTCATCGGAGGCTTTACTGGAGAAAAAATAAGTTATGCGTCTCTTTTCATATATGGAAACATTGAAAACTCCCCGGATGTTGAAGACATTTTTAAGATACAACTAAAGAAAAATAATTTAAGTGTAGCTTGGATCATTCAACATCAACGATATTTATAGTTCACAACAAAAATTTTAAATTAATAAAATAATAAAACCCTCCGCCCATTAACGTGGCGGAGCCGTAAATAAATAATAAAATTACGAAAGCTTCCGCCCATCGCACTGGCGGAACCGTACTGAAATAATAAAATAATAAAATGAATAAAACCCTCCGTCCATTGCAGGGGCGGAGCCGCACTGCAATAATAAAATAACATGACCCTTTCTATGATTAATATTTTAACATTGATTTCTTATTTAATAATAATTTTAATTTATTTTTAAACTTACATTAAAATAAATTTTATTTGTATATTAATATTTTAATATTTTAATAATTTCATTAAAATGACTTAAATTTGAATATTTCAATTTCATTTTATACAAATATATTGATTTCTTATTTAATAATAATTTTAATTTATTTTTAAAATTACATTAAAATAAATTTTATTTGTATATTAATATTTTAATATTTTAATAATTTCATTAAAATGACTTAAATTTGAATATTTCAATTTCATTTTATACAAATATATTGATTTCTTATTTAATAATAATTTTAATTTATTTTTAAAATTACATTAAAATAAATTTTATTTGTATATTAATATTTTAATATTTTAATAATTTCAGTAAAATGACTTAAATTTGAAAATTTCAAATTCATTTTATACAAATATATTGATTTCTTATTTAATAATAATTTTAATTTATTTTTAAAATTACATTAAAATAAATTTTATTTGTATATTAATATTTTAATATTTTAATAATTTTATTAAAATGACTTAAATTTGAATATTTCAAATTCATTTTATAAAAATATATATTTTTTTTATTTAATAGCAATTTTAATTTATTTTTAAAATTATTTTTTAAAAAAAAACGTTGCTCACACAGCTCCGCCAATGCAATGGGCGGAAGCTGTCTATTTTTAAGACCATCCACCCATCTATTGGGCGGAGCCTCCTAATATCAATTTTTTTTTTGAAAAAATAGTATATTAAAAATATTGGTTGAAATGTGTGGTATATTGGAATAAAGTTGTTAAAAGGGGTGTATGTTGGTAAAAAAATTCTATAATAGTATATGCATTTTAACGAAAACGACATAATCATGTACATGATATTAGCTTTACATTTATGTGTTCTGAACTCCTAAGTGTTAGAGTTGTTATTACACATAAAGAGAGAGAAAGGGAATTGAATTGGAATTGTATGTATAGCTCGTGTTGATAGATACTTGAATTAGCTTATAGGTCACTAACTAAGCCCAAAATACCATATTCAACATAATTAGGTAGTTACTTGTAATATAAGTTACATAACTAGTTTATTTGAATGGTAAAATGGTTAATCAGTTCCCTTAATAATCCATCTTAAAAGGGGCGGGAGACTAATTAGAGAAACTGGATTGAAAATTTCATCGCGTTTCTTTTCGTGATAGGTTGGTAGGACGATCCTGTCAATATTATTTAAAAAAATATTAATTAAAATATATACAAAAATAATTTATAAGACATTAAAATATGTGATTAATGAGTCAAGTAAAAATATGAATAATTATTATTTATGTATTAATATTTAATAATCTAAAATCGTATAATAAGTAAACAATTTAAATAAAAAATTAATGAGTTCATAATTTAATAAATTATGAGAAATTTGAGGCTAAATTTATAAAATTAAAGTGATACATTAATTGACATTTCTCTCTACTCTTTAAAGGGGAAAAAATTAAAAATAAATTGTGTACTTACTAAAAAAAATAGAATGAAAGTAGTCATCTATTTATAAGGTTGTATTTCGGATTAGTTCAAACAGAGTGATCAGAAGCTCTGAATATAATTTTCTTGGTAGAAAATTGAATCCCCTTAAAATGTAAGTATTGATGTCAGATGGAAGAAATGGTTATACAAAATCAATTCTCCAACAATAAACTATTTTTACTTCTAGTATGCTTTGTAATGGCATTTCATTTATTTTTTGAAATTCCTCCCGCCCTCTGACAACGGTCACAATTTTAAGTATGTTCATGGGGGTTTTTAAATAGAGAGAATGTGATAAGTAGTTTTCACATTGTAGGTGAGAAAAATACAGGAATGGGAGTTGAATTGTGTTAGATTTTTCTTTCTTTTTGTAAAACACTCTTATCATATTCCGAACACAAGGTCTAGAATCTGATACAAGGTTAATTGTTTACAACGGATAAAAAAAAGTTCAGAGTTGGAGAGTGAAAGAAAAAGAGACACGAGCAATTTTATCATGGTTCCTCCCACAAAACGAGAGCAGTTCAGTTCTCTTACAATTCCAAGGGATTTCAATATAATCAAATGATTATAAATGCTCAAGCACACAAGTAAGAGACTTCTAATTCTCAAACACATAAGTAAAAGACTTTAGATGCTCAAACACACAAGCAAGAGACTTCTAACAATCTATCCTAATCAGATAAAAGATTGTATGGTTATTACACTTTATATACAATCATAGGTGCAAACAGAATACAACTCAATAAGACTCTTAAGACTTAAGAATTTCTAGGATATACAAATGATATGAAATTCTAAGTTAAACTTGTGCTTTTGATTTGACAGAGTAAGAGCTCTTTTGATGTCAAAGATTGGTTATTTTTCTTCAAGTCCTCAGCTCCTTATATAGAGAGTCGTTCAAGAAAAGAGCTTACACAAGAGAGTCTTGGGGAAGCTTGATCATAGACATTATAATGTTTCTTTATATGGATTATTCCATTGAAAAGACATTTGAATTTCCTTTACTTCAAAAGGAATTATATGTTGTATCTCTGTTGTCTGTGCAGATTTTTGTTTGATTCAACATGTGATCAGGAGAAGACAATATAATCTATGAGCTCGATAGTGACTTTTCAGAGTCTTCTTGATCCTTGTGTTGACCTGCTTCAGAGTATGAGTCTCCAGAGTCTAAATCCTAATTTTTGATCCTTGAGTCTGGATCTTCAGAGGTTGACTTTCTTCAGACTATGGTCTTCAGAAGTTGACCTCCTTCTGAGTCTAACTCTTAGGTTCTGATCCTTCAAATTATGGATATTTTAGCTTCTCTTTAAATATTATTTTTCAGTACCAGTACTAAGTTTATATCATAAATTTTAGTGACACTTGAACATATATTAGTATATCCAATTGTTCTTTAAATACTTTGTTATCATCAAAACCTTAGAGATATGGTACAAACCCATTTTGTTCCATTAATCTTTCCCTTTTTAATGATGATAAACACAAGTATTTAAAAACAATGGTTGTTAATTTAATTAACAAGTTAACTTCAGAGTCTGAGGTTTGTAAGCCCTCCTGAGTCTAATAATCCAAAAGGTAAGATTTGTAAGCTTCCTATAAGCTCTATACAGGTTAATTAAATTTTATATTTAAAGCACAATAAATAATTCTTCAAAATCTAAGCAATACATATTTCTATCAGATTCAGGTGCTTCAATACTTATTTATCTTACTCCTTTTTTGTCATCAACAAAAGAAAACATAAAGTAAAGGAAATAAGAAAAGATACAGAAGAAAAATATCATTAGACCAAAGAAAAATATCATTAGACCAAAGAAAAATAATTTTTAGATGCAAAATATTTCAAATAAATTGAACAATAAAAAAGTCAGAAGATTCTAAGTCCTAAAGCCTAGGGTTTCTTCAGAAGCTCCAAAATGGCCATGATGTCGGATCACATGTCATTCTGCCTTGCCACCACTGACTTCAACTGAGCATCCATTTCCTCCTTCTTGTTGACTAGAGAACCTTGATGAGCAACCACAGTCTGAAGCTGAGCTCATAAAGCCTCTTGATTAGCAACAACAAAGGCCAATTTAGCCTTTAATTGCTCTTGCTTCTGGCTAGAAGAAGCTACAGGCTCAGATAAGAAAGACTTCATATTTTTCATAGCTATATCCATAGATGTTTAGAGAGTATCCCACTTAGCCACATATGTAATAGAGTCAAATGCTGTGAGTATCTCAGTAACCATATTCTGAATCTTATAAAAGATGTAAATCCTAAATTATTTCATTTGGGGTTGGATATGAGGTGGGTGATTAAGATAATGAGATGGTTGAGGTGATGAAGGGATAATGGGGATCTATCTTCAGAGAAAGACAGAACTATTGTGTCAGATGCTTTGATGTTCATGAGATTGTGGCTCTGGTTGTGGTTCTAGTATGGGTTAGTCTTGTATAGCTTGTCCAGGTCCAGGGTCATGTTAAACAAGATTGTTTTGGTCTTGTATGAATTATTTAGGAATAGGTTCAGGTTCATAGTGAACAAGGTTGGTGTGAACTTCTGGTTGGTAAGTTTTAGAAGTTGTGGTGTCTAAGGGCATGGCTTGGATAGGTGTGATTTCTAGAGGTATAAAGTTTGATTCATCAAAATAAGAACTTGATGTTGATGAAGATTGAGGGCTTGGGGATGATATAGTTTGATGTTGAGGGCTAGATATTGACTTAGGTTGTTCTTCTGGTATAGTTTCCATGAACTGACCATTATCAGTCATGATATTTAGGGGAGAATGTTGTCCAGATATTGAAATACATGCTAGTAGGTTTTGTTCAGAAGTGAAATCACCAACTAGGTGTATTTATAATTCATCTATGACAAATGAATTATGACATTTTCTAGCACCTGACCAATGGTATGAGATTCAGAGTCTGAGGTAGGTTTAGGAGAATTCATGACATGTTATAAGGGTAGAACCATGTCAAGAATGAGTGATAGTGTGTGTTCAGATGAATGTGAAGGTGATTGGTGTGAGGTTGGTGTTTTGGTTTTTAATGGAGGACATAAATAATCTAAAATTGAATCAGAAATAGGTTCCATAATGTTACTTGTGTTTATAGTTTGTTCATCATCTAGAGTAGCTTCGGTAGTTATCTTAATTTCCATAACAGCTTATGGAGCCTGAGTCTCTATAGAAACCATTGTCAATTATTGAACCCCTGCTTCAGAAGATTCTCCAGCAGTCTTCAAGAGAGCTTCACCAATATCTTTTACTTCCCTGGCTTGATGCCTCAGAAGCTCAACGTCTGATTGCTCTTCTATAACTTTGTTCTTCAAAGCAGATGTCAAAATCTTGGCTCCCTCTTGCACCTATTCTCTAATCAGGATATGTGCCTTTTTCTTCATCTCCTTAGCATTATTTTTTAGAGGTTGAACATCTTCCTGTTCTTCTTCTTCCTCAAGAGGTAGAATCATTTTCCTCAGTTTCTTTATAGGAGTTGAGATTACAAAAGATGGAGATGTATTCTGAGGAGTTCTTCTATTAGCTCTCCTTCTTTTCTTGTAGGAATCAAGACAATAGAAGAAGTTACATCTTTCACCTCTTTCTAAATCAAAGCTACATCCTTCTTCTTTGATGGCTTTTGAGTCTCCTTTTGGTCTTCAGAAGCAACAATTTTCCTCTTCTTTGAAGGCTTGTACACATCTTTGGTGCCTATGGAATATCATCCATAATGAGAATAACACTGGTGTCTTCTCTATAAATCTTGATATACTCATGAATCACCTATGGGTTGTCCAACTTAGAGATGATAGGAAAATCCTCAAGGTAGGCAATCTTAGTACTTCTAATCCTTAGACCATCTTCTGGCGCTACAGCTAATTTTTCATGTATTATCTTCATAATTCCTAGAATAGCTCTAGACAATATACTCCCAAAGGATTCTTCCAAATCCTAAGTAGCACAAGCTTCATTCAAAGTTTCAACCAATCTGCTCTAATGGAATAACTCATCTAGAAGCTTTGCATAAAGCACATTCTTCTTATCATTCTTCTGACTTTCCTTGATAGCTTCACAAAGATGATTGAAGATGTATGAAAACAGATTCATCTTCTCTCTATTCACTAGAAACCAAATGAAGTGCTTGTGATCAAATGAAATTTGATAAGTACTTCCTTCCCTATGAATCAGACTGCCAATCAGGATTCTGAACAGAGGCATATTCTTCACCTTTCCAAAACCATCAGAGTAGGTAAACAAAGTTGATTTGATCATTTTTGCTTATGCGCTTCCATCTTCAGTGTTCATAACACAACTTTTTTCATTATTCACAATAATAAGTTGAGCAATGTTGCTCTGAGTAATGGTCACTTCAACTTCCATTATTGTAGACCTAATTTCAACTTCATTGAACTCCTTCAACTTTATCTATTTACATCTTGTAACTTTAAACCATCAAACATCTTGCGAACTTCCGCTTAAAACCATCTTAACTATTGAACGACATTGATATTGCACCAGTCCATGTGGATACGATAAAACAAATACTTACTTTTGATTTCTCAATATCAAAATGGTGTTGTTGCTGGGGAGAGTTGATAGGTGCCAATTTGTGTTTAATATTTGTATAAAATAATGGAATTTATTAACTTGATTAATTGGATTTATAACTCAAAACCTCAACATTTCTGTAAATATTATTTTTAATGGTTTATCATGTGAATATTGTTTAGTTTGTGCTTTTGCAACTCATTTTGTAGGTATGTTTGCATTGGAGGAGCTTTGGGCATCAAAAAGTCAAAGACATGACTTCAACATGCATTTTTTAGTAAAGTTGCCTCCAAGTTGGGGCTAAGCCCCAAATTCCGTGCTAAGCCCCATTTAGGGCGGTTTAGATCTTTTATTTATAGTTGTGCTTAGCGCCAAATCTGGGACTAAGCGCCAATGACTTTTTCAGCTTTGTATAAATAGCCTTCCGCTTCAGATTTTTAGATACATATTACATTTTGGAGAGAGGGAAACTTAGAAAACAACATAAAAGGGTGCTTTTTGAATATCACAAGTTGGGTTCACATCAATCAACTGGAAATCATGATTGATACACATTCATCTTCATTCTTCTCTTTGTATCAAGCTACCATGAGTAGCTAAAAATCTTGTTGGGATTGGATGTAGTTCATCGTAACAATATGTATTTTTATTGATCATGGTGTTATATGCAATCTATTTACTAATTGATATCGATGTTATCTTTGTTTCACAGTTTAACTTTATAGATTTGAATTGATATTAAGAAATACAATTCGAATCTTGACCTAAGATGAACATTTGTTAGATTCTAAATTCTAGACATAGGTTTAGTTTAACATTCACATAAAGTATCGATTCTTAATGATGTCGTATTGTTGAATAGGATGAGAGATATTCGATTAAACAATAAGGTAGAAACCTCATAAAAATTTTAGATATAAATGTGTGGTATTTCGCAAGTGCACGAAAATATCAGAGTAATATAAAGAGTGTCAAATCCACAGAGACCTAATAGTCAAGCTATCTATTTCTATCATTACAGTGTTTATCTAAGGCTGATAAGATAAGGATTTGAGTTGTGCAAATAAAGTAAATAAAAGGATTAAATTAATATCAGAAAAGCAATGTTGGAATATGGATCTCATCAATGCGTTGCTACTCTTGTTGTTCATAAATCAAATTTCTACGGGACAATATTTTCTACTTTGAAAAGAATTAATTAAACATGAATTGTCACTTTTGCGTATTCAGAACTGAGTTTTACTCTAAATTATACCATCCAATGTCACGGTGGTGGCATACATTGTGTTAAATAAATAAAACATATTTTAAGAAATTAAACACTTTACTCAGTTGAAAAGTGATTTTGATTGGAAAATAATACTTTAAAGGGTTCTCGGTGGTTACATCGGCAAATCGTATCTTAATCTTACAAACGCGTCCGAAAATAGGTTTAAAAGTACTTTATTAAAATACTATTTGTCATAACCGGCAAAAAAGAGTCGCCACCATTACTTTTTGTCCTAACGACTAGTGAATAATGGATAACCCAAAGTTGCACAGAGACTCTAAGTCCGTGTTTCGTTTTAGACGAAGGGAAGGTGTTAGGAACCCTTCATCTCCCTTGTTCTCAAAGGGCTCCATTATTAGGTCAAGGGTAGATAGGGAATTTCATAGCTAAGGTTTCTATAAGTTGAGAAAAAATATTTAATTTTTAAAAGCTGGACTCGCCTTGGTTTTTAAGCCACGTGCCTATGTATCTCCTTATGAAGAATCAGAGTCCAATTCCGTAGTTCGAATTGTTAGGTTAGTTTTTTTATGGATTGTGGAAATATTTTGAATTCTCCTTGAACCTTGTCTAGTTTGAAAATAACGGAATCGTAGACACAGCTCGCAGTTAATAAGAAATATATCCATAATCTTTTTTGAAAATAATATTGAAATTGAAATTAAATTAGTAAAAGATTTTAGTATTTGATGGGTTAGTTGTCTTAGATGTATGATAAAAAATAAGTTTGAATGAAAAAAGTTTGATAAATATGAAGAAAATAAGTTAGTATTTGAAAAGAATTAATAAATAAATATTTTCTTATTATAAAAATATGTTAGATATTTTTAATATTAATTCAATATTATTTATTAAAAAATTTAAATGCAAAAATATTTTTAATGCAAAAAAAATTGATGACGATAAACAAATAAAATAAATAAATAATATAAATTAAACAAATTAATTTAATTAAACAAAAGTAATTGACTAATTAAATTATAAGACACTGGGTACGTTTTTAACTAGGGTAGCAATTTTTGGGTGTGTATATAGTAAGGGTTCATGCCCATTTATTTATTTTGAGCCCAAAACAGAAAGGGGGTGTAACTATAGTTAAAGAAGTAAAATAAAAAAAAGGGTGTTTGAATAGCGATGGGTTTCAGGCCCTGATTTGAGTCCAATGGCCAGGGGGTGTGGAATTGTACTTACTAGCAAAAAAAGGTGGTGCATTCTGACTGAGCTTAGCCCAAAACGAATTTGTGAGGTCTGCTAGCCAGTTTGTGGGAGGGACCATGAAGTTGTAGTATGTTGCAAAATCTGGAGCGTCTGATCAAGGTAAAAGGAGTGAAAGGTCGAGATGTATGATTGACTGAGGGAGCATCGTGGGGCGTACCGCCTTGGATTATGTTAAACAATATCATCACATGGCCTATTGAAGGCCATATGTCGCAATTTTCATTTATTTTATATGAACTACCTTTCTAGTCTCCTCCTCCTCCTTCTCTCTCTCTCTCTCTCTCTCTCTCTCTCTCTCTCTCTCTCTCTCTCTCTCTCTCTCTCTCTCTCTCTCTCTTTCTCATTTCTTCCTCCAAAAATAAAACCAATCATTGCCGCTACCACCATACGAATCGCCGTGGATCGGCAATTTCGATTGAAGATCAACCGAAAATTCGAGTATTCAACTTGTAAGAACAAAACCAGGAACCTAACATACACCTAATCGCATACCCTAGCCCCTAATTCACGAACCCTAATCCTAAACTTCTCCTAGATTCAACAAATTCACTGAAGCAAAAAAAAAGCTATGTTCTTACCTTCCTCGCCGTGAATCTCGTTGTATATTTTCCTAATTCCCTCTACTAATCCATTTCTTTCTCCGAACGCATGTGTAGCAGAAAGATTTGAATACTTTAAGGCGTTTCTCTTTAAATTCTTCCTTCTCCTTCTTCACTGGTTCGGAGGATAGCGCGGCAGAAGGCTTAGAGTTTCAATACTGAAACCTAAGCTTTTTTTTAGAGTCTTCGATGATGGGTACAAAAATCGTAGTGAAGCCTTTTCCAATTATTCTCTTATTCCCTTAAATTTGTTAGCTTAGGGTTTAATTTATAGGTTTAGAGATTTTTAGATTAGGAAAATTTTATGTGATTTGCAGTTATAAATTAATTGATTAGAAATCTCAGATTGTAATTGATTTTAGAAAGATTTTATTGTAAATCAAATTTTGAATCTGGATGAAAATGTACTATAAATTTAATCAATGAGTTTTAATTTTGTGTGTATTTGATTCGCTTATGAATTTAGTTCAATTGTTATTTCTGGATTTCCTGGGCTTTTAGGGTTGCTTATTGATGAAGATGAAGGAGATGC